TGTAGAGTGCATGTATAGCCGTGTGTAACTGTGTAGCTGTGTGTAGCAGTGTGTGTAAGTATGTGTAACTATGGGGCGTAGTGGAAGTGTTGGGTGTACTAGTAGGTGTGTAACTGTGTAGCTGTGTGTAGCAGTGTGTGTAAGTATGTGTAACTATGGGGCGTAGTGGAAGTGTTGGGTGTACTAGTAGGTGTGTAACTGTGTAGCTGTGTGTAGCAGTGTGTGTAAGTATGTGTAACTATGGGGCGTAGTGGAAGTGTTGGGTGTACTAGTAGGTGTGTAACTGTGTAGCTGTGTGTAGCAGTGTGTGTAAGTATGTGTAACTATGGGGCGTAGTGGAAGTGTTGGGTGTACTAGTAGGTGTGTAACTGTGTAGCTGTGTGTAGCAGTGTGTGTAAGTATGTGTAACTATGGGGCGTAGTGGAAGTGTTGGGTGTACTAGTAGGTGTGTAATTGTATTAGACGTGTGGTGACCATTGCATAGCTGTGTGATACTACTCTGAATGGGAAGGTATATTGCAGTTGAACACAAATGATAGTTGTCAATTCATGTTGCTGAATCCCACAGATGGCAGCACCTAGCCAGAGAACTGCACAGTGGATAGCGCTAGTCGGTCGCACGCTCGTAAAACTAATTGCTAACAAATTAATTAATTTGAGCTATCTTATTTGCTAATTGTTGTGTTGTCGCGCAGGAGATGATCAGATCTTTAAAGGAGACGGCATTCAACCCTTACGGACGTAAGGTGCTGCTGTACCTGCTCTCGCGCAGGGATCCTCTCTACTTTCACCCGGACGTTGTGAAGCTTCTACAGGATGGAGATAATAACAACACCAGGTGTGTGTGCATGTGTGTTTGCATGTGTGTGTGTGTGTGTGTGCGTGCGTTCGTGCGTGCGTGCGGCGTGGACATGTGTGTGCGTGCATGCGTGCGTGCGCATGTCTGTTCCTGTGAGAGGATACACAAAGAAATATAAAAACCTGGCAGCAAAACGAGGGCATGAACACTACCCGCTGGAAACCGATGTAAATTCTCGCGTTATTTACCGCAAAACATACCGACTTCAACGTGCCGTATCCAGTATCAGGGCCACCAGATCGTTTACGTTTAAACTTTGACTCTGTGCCTCTCGTATTAACTCTAATGTTTAATTGTCTTAATTTAATGTCTCCTAATGTTTGCCACGTACAAAGTACTGCGCACCGAAAAACTACACCAAACAAGTCTTTACTAAAAAAACTAGAGCAACAGGGTTTCGTCTGAGGGATAATTAGACAAAGGAGGCAATGGCCAGTTTGGGAAAAAAACGCACATGATGGATTCAAAGGTGTGCCACATGCACGCATGCTGACGCTGCAGGCAGGCGCAAGGAGAGAGGAAGAGGGGCAACTCGATCCCCCTCGCTGGTGGGTGGGGGGGGTTCTGGGGGTCTCCCCAGAAAAATTGTAAAAATTTGAATGTCACAGGAGTATTTTCACAACGGCGATGTTAAATTTGACAACGGCGGTGCGCCACTGTGCCTCTTATGTATAAGAAACCCTGTACTAATGCGACATTTACTCTGTGCAGTAAGAAGGACCAGGCATTGCGAGAGAATGAGCTTCGGGAGGGAGTCTCGGCTCCCGCTCTGAAGCTGATCGCCGATAACGCTGAGGAGATGGTGAAGGAAAAATCGCTGTGCTTTCTCGTTCTCACCATTCTCAATCATGCCGTGGGTAGGTTCACGAACGCGGCGTATAGCCACACCTCGAATTCTTAATGTTTTTGCAGGGCAGGGGAAGTGTCAATGGTATTATATTAAGCGATATATAGTTATATATTTATTATATTATATTATTATAATATAGCAAATATTTATATATATAATACTAAATACGTAAATACTAAATACACTTGGAGGCTAGCGTAATCATACGGAATTTTGTATATGTGTACTTTTTTGCTGGTTGATGGTTTGGGTTTTTGAATGTCTCTCGGTTCGAACGGACATCGAACGTTGTTAACAAATTACAGGTGATGTCCGGCCGGCGCTGGAAGCCATCGTCGATCTGTGTCAGCGGCCGTTCCAGACCGGCAAATCAGCAGAAAGCTTTCACATAGTCGAGCAAGCATCGGGCCACCTGGTGGTGAAACGTCTCATACAGAGCGACAAGGAGAGAATAGAGAAAGGACAGCGTGAGTATCATCCACTTCTCTAGATTAGTCAATTTATTAGTTATTATTATTTATTTAGTTATCCAATTAGTTGATTTGGATAGCTTCTTGTGACTCTGCTGCATTTAGTATGCTGATATCTTGTAACTTGACTAAGATAGAGGTTCAGAGAACGTCCCAAAGTTGAAAATTGAAGGTTGAAAAATGAAACTTGAGGTTCGTCCCTTGAAGTTGAAAATGCTTGGCTTGACGAGTTTTGTGACACGCTGGTTTTTACGTCGTTGGCTTTTATCTTCCAGCGAGTTTCTGTGAGATGCTGCTGGAGAGCTTACCGGAGGGCTGTCTGAAATCCTGGGTCTCATGTAACAGAGGTTCCTTCATCGTAGTCGCGTGAGTGCTCACACCGTGGCGCCACCTATGCGATGCCGCGTCGCCACAGTGGCGCCATCTCTATTTGACCTATTCTGAGATGTGTTTCAGAATATCGATGAGTTTTTTGTTAGCCGTTATTTTTTTAATTTCCTTTTTTATTATTGTTAAATATGTGAGATCTTGATCTGTTGATATAATAATACTTTATTAAGATTTAATACTGTTTCGCTTAGCAAGCTTGTTGCTTTGTTAGCTCGTAGCCCAATCGTCAGTGTGTAGAGAATGCAGTGTGCAATGTTCATAACGAATGGAAATCTTGCATCCAACCTTAGAACCTCATCTTTATCTATTACAGGCTTCTGGAGACAGAAATTCCAAGCGTGGTTGAAAAGGTAAAGAAAGAATTGACGGGATGTAAGAATATGCTGGGTAAATCTTCCTTCAAGGGTGCCGAAATATTGCTGGCAAAGCTCAAATGACATCTCTCTCTCTATCACTCCGTGGGCAAACAGGCAATGTAATTTACTAGAGCCCTGTTGCCATTTGTCAGCAGTATTGCCAGCCACCTTGGTTACGTTGCAAGCTATTGACACCAGGGCGTAATGGATGCGCTGGGGTTGTGTCTCTTGGTGTGTGTTTGTAAAAAAAAATTGAGCAGAAATGGTAAACAATGGTGATCTAAAAGTTCTAATAGGCATATTTCACAATGACCTGGATTGGCAGGAAGTTTATATTGAGATTAGGATGCGATAAAAGGATTTATTCCCTGCATGCGTGCATAGATCTACAAATGGTACATTGATCACATATTAACAATTATGTCAACAATTATGTTATGCAATGATACCGACGGATTGCTTGCTAAAGATGCAAGTTGCGTGACGACATAAATTTGGTTGAATTGTGATTTGACATCAAGCATCGTAATACAATGCAAAGTAAATGCTTATGTTTGTACATCATTATATGTGAATGTCAAGTCTGTAATTTATTGCAGGTCTCATTAAAATACTATATTTAATTGTATTGTATTGTATTGCTTTGTATTAAACTGGTGTCGATTCAAACATTTCCTTAGCAATTAAAACACTTACAATAACTAAAACATCTGAAGTCAAATAACAAATTAATATAATATGAAACGTTGTTTATAAAATCATGAACTCGCGTTGTAGATGCAGATATATCGATATACAATAAAAATGAAATATTGCTACCAAAAACTTACTAACAATATCAGAAGACGTGAACAAATCTCAATTTCTAAAACAACATTGCCCTTAATGACAACATTACACAATGTCGTATCAAAATAAATTTTGTTAATAAATTACTATTGCTGGGAACAATTACCCTAGTTCTTAACCTCTTGCGTTTACGTAAAGGGTATGTTAGAAGTATTGTGGAATGTGAATGTGAGTTTTAACCCTTTACAACAGCATTACTAGGAAGGCGGGATTTCTGTAATCTCGTGCTAAGTGTCCCTCTTATTCGTGCATGCTGGATATAAAACGACAACTGTGCAGCGCATGTGCCACACCGAATGCAAGCTGTGCCGTGACGTGAGCCGTGACTTGTATTGTGATCACAGATGCAGTGAGTGAGTAAGTGGAGATAGTAAGTGCTGGCCATACGGGCACGGTCGCCGTGCAGTCCGTCGTGACCTGTCATGCATAGTAGCCCCTGTCGTATTGCATGCTACCAAAGGCATCGTCTTCCTCCACATCACTGCCAAAAGATACACAAAAGATATATTACCTAACGGAGTGTGCACAGAAGAGAAACCCTTCCCTCATCATTAACCTGAAATTCATTAATTTATTAATTATTGCAATCAGGTTATGCTTCTCCTTCTGCAGTTCCTACTGCTAACCCAAAGCCAGCTCAAGTAACGCACCCTAGTGAACACACGGATAGTTAATGAAGCTAACGCTTCTAGTGGAACATTCTAGATCACATACAGATGGTTGCGCCGCCAACGCTCCTACTGGAATATTCCAGATCACATACAGACAGTTGCGCAGCTAACGCTTCTAGTGGATCATTCTAGATCACATACAGGCGGTTGATGAATCCACGTCTGCTCTGCAGTCGTCGTATCCTCGTTATAAGCAGGATCGTTGCCGTTACCGCGACAACAAACAGACCTAGCATCCCGCATGAGATACCTGCAGACAGAAGTAAAAACTGTTCAACGGAGCAAAACCGTGCGGAACACTACATCGAGACACAATCACGCTTCAGCTGTTAGTGAGGGAATACCGGTTCTATCTTCACACGTTCATGTGACAATAGAACATCGCGGCAATGCCGTCGCAAATTCTCATGACAAGAGAGCAGAATCCTAGCCCCATATTCACGTGACAAGAAATGTCGAGAAGAATCGAGGGGAAGGATCTCAATTGATTATTACTTGATACACGTATCCAGGGGTAGAATTTAACCTTTGAACACGGGAGTCCGCAGCAAAATGAGGGAGTCCGCAGTCTGAAGGTCAAAATTAAAGATATTAACAATAACACACGTGTGCTTATTTTGAAGATTCATGCGATTGCAGGTCTGCCAAATTTTCTTTGAACATTTGCTGAAAAAATACGGTAATTCTGCGAGGCCGTGTTCTGGAACGAGTAGTTAGTGTGGCAGAAATTTCAGGGAGTCACACAGACTCCTGCATATGTCAAATCAGGGAGTCCGACAGTAAATCAGGGAGTATTTGACTCCAGACTCCCGTTAATTTCGCACCCTGCTTATCACACAGACATGGAAGCGAGACCACAACACTGAGTGACATCTCGTACCTAAGACTGCATCACTTGAATGACCCTGAGCCTTGCCTATCGCGGTCGGATGGTCACTGCTGACAGCACCACCTGGAATCGGTCCGGTGTCGCTCATTTCTACAGCTGTCGAACTTTCTTCTACAATCGACGAAAACATTCGAGTTCCGTCTGAAACCACAAAGAAATTTTAGCAAGCCGCAACTTTTTCAATTTACATGCCACATAGGGTATAAATAATTGAAGTTTAGAATGTAAAAATGTGCCGACATGAATTGATGAGTATGTTATGATCACACGGACTTAATTCCATTAGTAATGAGGAACATATTGACTACAACGTTTAGAGTGTAAGACAGTGCCTACTTCTATTAGTGACTATTACTGCTGTTGCTGCAGTTGCTATTACTACTACTACTACTACTACTACTACTACTACTACTACTACTAACAGTACTACTAATAGTAGTAGTGGTAGTAGACTGTGAGAAAACTGACACAAACTACTCATTCAAATACAATTAAAATATTATTTGCTGTAATGCACATTATAAATCATCATAGCTCACAGATACCTTCATTTACACTAAACAACCATTTTTACTCACACTTACTCATAATGAAGTTAATTTCATGTGAATGATAGTCATTCCCAATCTTGTCTTGACAGTTTATATAAAAAAAGTAGGTTTCATTGGTCTTTAGTCCTGGAAGAAATGTATTAGAAATAAACCAACTGCAATTAAGACCAATTAAAAAGCGATTCTGTTAATTTCAATAAATAGTTCCGCATAAACCTTTCACATGCTCGGGCCATTCTTACGTATGTGGCTAATAATAATATAACGCTAACTTACTAGTCGAAAAGCACAAATTGTTACCGGATACGATAGAAGAAACTTACCGGCAATTGAAAAGGATTCTGGCTTTATGTCCTGCAAAACCTGCACAGTGTTTAGAGCCGCGACCAGTCCGTAGACTGCATCACAGCTGATGGAGTCGATCTGAGGTGTCAGCGACCATCGTACAACTGCCGTGGTGCGTGACACATCACTCGCAGTGACGGTCACGTTGAAGTTGGAATCTTGAATTGTCCTTGCTGTAGGCAATGCTGCATTGAACAGGAACAATCTACATTAGCAAACACCATTAGTTCTGCTTCTTCTTCCACTGATACGATCATATGTATCTGTGTACACACTACACAGAACAGAGCCTCGTGTAGTGCACTGGCAGTATACATTGTCATTGCATTTTGGGAGCAGTATCTGAGACTATGTTAGTATGGCTGAAAAGGTCTATGTCCCCCAGGGTACTGCCGGAACGTACCCTGGGTATGGTCCGGATACGAAACGTAACCCTGGTACTATCTAATATGCCGGACCGTACCTCGCCTACTCCCACTAACGTGAGTCTAGGCAAGTCGCCTTACACCATAACTCCCCTAACCCTAACGCCTAACCAAAACCACTAACTAACCATAATCACAAAATGAAATAGGTTACCAAGGTAGCGTTCCGGTATAAATCCGGACGCAGTACTCAGGTACGTTCCGGCAGTACCCTGGGGGACATAGACCCCATGAGCGTTAGTATGTCAGTGTGTCAATTTACAATTGTGCAGAAAAGAAGAGGTCTAGGAACTAGAAATGGAACTTGGAAGGGTCACAGGACGTGACACATCACAATATAAATTACATCATTAAAGTATTACATGTCATTATAAATTACATGTCTACGCAAAGACATCACAAAGAATACAAATTCTATCATACCAAAGCATAGCTCTAGTACTATAGCCCGCGTACAGTTGCCGCAGGTTGCCTGGGGCAACTGCACGCGGGCTATATATACTTAGTACTGACTACTATAGTAGTACGGCCATACTAAGGAGAGCTAACCCATTCGGGCCACCTTAAAAAGCGTCAATAAAATATAATGCTAACTAAATACGAAATCTATGTTATCTGACAAATTCTTTCAGTGTTTCTATACTCCTCTTTCATCCTATATCGCCAACTAGTTTTCCTGTAAATTGCCTTCCAAATCCAACGTGGCAGACTCATAATATTATGGCGCGCGGCGGCCATTGCTGCTCTCGCTGTCGATCATGTTGCACGCTTACACTGTATATAGTAGTAGTAGTGTAAGCTTATAAGGTATAGTATATATACTATGTGTGTAAGTTTATATATATATATTATAGTATATATCAGGGCGGATTCAGGACGTATTTTGCCGGTATTGGGAGAAGTACGAGTCTAAGTAGTTTCAAAGAGCCCTTCGAAAATTTTGCGCTAAAAAAATACAGAAAGACAATTTTGATGGAATTAGGCTATATTCTTTATTTGTTTTCATTTTCCTCTGATTCATTCATACGGACTTGAAGGAAATCAAAATTTTTACATGGTAACAAAACTAGCTTTGATATCTGAAAAAAGAAGGGAAGTGCTTGAATCATTCTGCAGTAATTGCTGTATGCAAAGCGCAGGCAAAATGAAGCAGAAATCAAATTCCATATGATTTTTAGGCTATTGCTGGTTGACTAAAATGTGTGCTCAAATAGTGCTCATTTTTGTGCCCAGGAACCGCTTGAAATTTTGAAATTTCCTGGGGGAGGCCCCCCAGACCCCCGCCATCTGCTTCAGCGCATAACGGCACCCACCGTGGGGTGGTGTGCCCTTTTTCGGGGGATGTGCCCTTAAAATCTGGTAAAATACTGTCTAGCTTCAGCCCCGGATCCGCCCCTGTATATACACTATATATATAAGTGTAAGCGTGCAAAAGTGAGCCACGAGAGCAATGCCAATGGCCGCCGCAGTTCAAGGATAAAGAACATGGGTCCCAATAAAACCAATGTCATTTACATCAATATAAATATAATATTATATCAATATAAAGGTTTAGGTTTAATAATATGGTTAGGGTTATTGTTACTGTTACTGTTAGGGTTAGGCCGATGAAAGTTGATGTCATGGTTCTCGTCAGCTAGCGCGCCCGCATCAAATTTTACTCTCCCGCACCAAAAAAGTTCAAACACTCATCGCTTGACGAAATTCCCGCATCAAAAAGTCCCATATGAAATTCCGCGCCTCAAAAAATCAACAATTCTAACAGTCAGCACTAACATGTATGGAAGACAAACAGTAAAAATTTGAGTAAAAACTGTCAACAAAGAAGTTGGTTTGTAGATGAAAGATGAATGTTGATCTAAATCCCTCATCAAAATCTCAACAATGCCTGACGAGAACCATGAAATCAACTTTCATCGGCATTAGGGATAGGGTTAGATATATCATATGGTTCCACGTAGGATTTGGACGGAATTTACAGGAAACTGTCGGCAGTAATAGGTGAAAGAGAGTATAGAAACATTAAGAATGGTAGTAAATAGATTTCGTATTTAGTTAGCATTATATTTTATTGAAACGCTTCAAGTGCCTGTGAGCTAACCAAACCAAAGCACAACTTGAACTTACACATTTCAGCTATCTGAAACAACAAGAAGAGTAAAATTGATCTCATATTGCTACAACTTCATGCGTTATTTGGCAACGTAGACAAATATCCTGCATTTCACCATAGATATAGAATGCTAGATCTTATATCAAGAATGATCATGAATGATATATATAGAATTCTGTATCTATGATGTTTTCACATATGTAAGCTGACATTTTAGGCGCGATAGCGGCGCCATCTGTATGTAAGATTTTCAAGATTCAAGATTTTTTATTCGTGCTAAACGGATAACTCAGACAGTGCACAATTAAACAGTTGTAACTTTGTTATTATAAAGCACCGGTATGGCGAAAAGACCTTTCGGTCATCTAGTCAGCCATACACATTAGTTAAAGTACATAAATTATTACATTCCAAGACACGATGTTGAATGATATTAGCTATACATGATATGATCTGATACAACAGCACATACAATTCATCACAATACACAACGTTGTACTACGTGCAATACACGACGTTATATTATATTACTATACATGACATGACATGACATTAAACAATACAACACGATACAACACATTACAATTAGACCAATTTTATAAAACGTATGACATTACAAGATATGATGATATATGATGTTTACATATAAACATGACCTGATCAGATGATTACAACACATACAAACCATTACAATACCAGACGTAATACAATCTACAATACATGCCATGATATGACAATATGATACATAAGATATTACAAGACATGATGATATATGACATATAATATTTACATTACATAGCGTGGTATGGCATTACGACACATAGTAAAACATAAGTTTATAATTACAAAAAACAAAACAAACAACAACATTACGTACGTTACATTACTTTACATATATGTATATATACAATTTGATCTTATGTATGAGACACCGGATAGACTATATACACTGGTAAAAAATAAATATAATATAGATATAATTTGATATTAATTTGCATACCTTACTATATATAAATATCTTCAATTTAATACAATAGTTACTACGTATATTATTAATTAAGAAATTTCTTAAGATTAAATTTAAAGGAATTTAGATTGTTAACTTTTATTGATTGCGGTATATCGTTCCAGCACTTTACTCCTTTGAATTTTAGTGTGTTTTGTCCTAATGATGTTAGAGTACGAGGGAGATGATATTGAGAGTGAACTGAATAACGGTGTAATATAAGGATGAATATCAACCTTTAATAAAGTATGCTCTATATAAGATCGGTAGTTTATTATTGTGAAATTTATGCATAAATTTCCCAAGTTCCCAAAGTATAGATGTCTTCTAGTTTCAATAGATTTAGTTTTTATAATATTGAGTAACATGTTCTTGATATTTCCCGAACGCTATATATTTTATTATTTTATTGTGAATAACTCTTACTGGATGTAGAAATATATTTAGGTGATGATGCCCAGCTCAGCACTGCATAATGTAGATATGGGTATGCTAAAGCATAATAAACCTGAAGGAGAGTAGATGTATCTGTATAATGTCTTAGTCTAGATATATTCCAGCCACTTTAGCAAGTTTTGTACTGAGAACCTTTATATGCGATGACGCATTTTAAATTATTATCTATATATCCACCCAAATATTTTATTGATTGTGTCTGTTCTATGCTCGTGGTTGTCGATTGGTAATATTAAATAAGTTTCTATTAATTTTTTATTTGGATATGATCATGTATTTCGTCTTACCATAGTTTATTGAGAGCCTATTAGCCAGCATCCAATTATTCAATCTTATCTATCTCCACATTTACTATATTTCCAGATCCATATGTTATCTTCCGAAATAAATAAATTGGTATCATCAGCAAACATCTAGTGTTAAAGGCAGATGCATTAGGTAGGTCATTCATATAAATTAGGAAAAGTAATGGTTCTAAAGTCGATCCGTTGAGGAACCCCACACGTAATATCAACCAGATTAGATTTCACATTACTATGAGATGATGAAACTGCTTCCTATTTTTTAAGTAATTTTCAAACAGACTTTAATCCTACCCCCCTAATTCCGTAATGTTCTAATTTACCTAGTAATATACTGTAGGTAGGTTAAATAACTCTAATCTTGTATCTTGTATCTTGGGGTCCCTCTCTTGTATTTCACAAGGCACAGATTCTCTTGCATGTGCGGCGGGAAATCCTGTAGATAAGGAAATTCTGTCTACAAGTTAGCATTAATTAACTTACTTTCTCTAATTGATAATGCCTTTCTAACATATTCTAGTGCTGGTTTTAGTATTTTTGGGTCATCACTTTTCCAATCTTCTACCCGTTCCCCTTAATTATACCCTCTATATATCTTACACGAGTATAAATGTTCCAAATTTTCTTTTTTCATTTCGTCACATAAATCACATCTATCCTTACTGTGTCTAATGATGTTACCAGAGATGTTACGTACATACTCAGCGGTATATGGTTATGTTTATATATTATAACAGTGGTTCACGTCGAAGACTTGTGATAAGCTATTATAACATTGGGCCACCATATTACCACTAATCGATGTGTGACCCATATAGTAGATAGTGTAATATAGTAGTTTACTAGTTAGACTATAATACGGGTATCTCTATATATTTCTATGGTATAACCCTCTATACTACTGGGCCTGTCAGACATGCAGCACCATGCAAAATACAACAGTTGAGCTTTTACATCAGGGGTTCTTAACCTGTGGTCAATGTACTTATTTGTGGTGCGCAGATGGGCTTCAGGGGGTCCGCAAAGCAGGCGCATACAAATTTTGTGTTTATGTGCTTATGTGCATTTTTCTGGGGAAGAGTCCGTAGCTTTCACCAGATTCTTAAAAAAGTCCATGACTCAAAAAGGTTAAGAAACACTGTCTTACACCCAAGCCAGTGAGCGTATATATATATATATATATATATATATATAATATATATATAATATATATATTATACAACTTATATATATATATATATATATATATATATATATATATATGCACAACACGTACGTAAACAACTTTACCAGCGGAGCTTGAAAAAATACATATCACGTGCCCTAGCTGGCCGAGTACGTACATATACAGCACACAGTGCGTTAGCTGTAAATCTTAATTAAATATAACCTAGAGCAGTGGTACTTAACCTCTTTTTGAGTCATGGACCCCTTTGAGAATCTAGTGAAAGCTACGAAGCCCTCCCAAAAAAATGCTCATAAGCACATAAACACAAAGTGATTATGTGCGCCTGGTTCACGGACCCCCTGAAGCCCAACTACGCGCACCTCAAAGGGGTCCATGAAACACATGTTAAGAAACCATGACCTAGAGTTAAATGCAAGCATTTATTGACATATAGTTTGTCAATCCTCTTTAAATTTTGTAAAAGGGCCGTTAAATAAAATTTTTATCGAAAAAAAACAACAAATAAAATGGAAAACGTAAGATGGAAGGTGTTCGATGTAACACGGCGCCATCTAGTGTCTCATCTCACTCTGTGATGCGTAGTTACAGCGCCACCTACTGTCTCATATCTCACACTGCAGCATGTGTATAACCAATACCAACAGTCGGATGTATCCCTGATCTACCGATCTATAGCAGGTTATCAGCATTAGTGGCTATATACGACATCAGCGACATTATGTGACATTTATTATTATTATTATTAAATCTTTATTGCATGTAATTCAGATAAAAATACATGTACTGACGACAGTTTTTTTCATGGAGAATGCATTTAACTATGCATATGTGAACGTCAATGAACGCCGCGACCACTGCTGCTACTGTTGTTACTGCCGCCGCGGCCGCCGCTGCTGCTGCTCCTGTTGCTACTGCCGCCGCCGCGGCTGCTGCTGCTGCTGCTGCTGCTGCCGTTCTGGTGAACAGCTGGGACTCTCCACACAGGGAAGGGCGCTGGCGCGGGGGAAAGGGACCTAGAGAGAGCGAGAGAGAAGCTGATCGAGGGCTATTTCGAGCAGCTCGCACTCGCGCACTGTAGACTCAACTTCACATCTGCTACCGGCACCGCACGCGCACACGCACACGCACACGCACACGCACACACACACACACGCATACATACAGACGCTATACACCATCTCTCTCTATATAGCTGTGTAGTGAGGTAGCCTGCCGCTCCAGTTGAAGGAGTGAGAGAGAGAGAGAAAGACGTAGTGTGAGGACACGCCGCTGCTAGTACTGCGCGTCCACGACTGAAACATTCCCCTCCGCGCTGAAACATGCCCGGAAGTGCTGGAGTCACATCTGAGGCGGATAGGGTTAGTGCGTGATTGATTTACGTCCACTAGATAGTCGCCCGTGAGTATATGTCGGTCGTTGATCGAGTCGGGCAAGTGCGCGCGCGTGTGTGTGTGTGTGTCTGTGTGTGCGTCTGTGTGTGTGTCTGGGTCTGTATCTGTGTCTGTGTCTGTGTCTGTGTCTGTGTGTTTGTCTGAGTGTGAGTGTGAGTGTGTGTGTGTGTGTGTGTGTGTGTGTGTGTGTGTGTGTGTGTGTGTGTGTGTGAGAGCATGTAAATGAGAGTTATGAAGACTGTAATGAAAAGTTATGAAGAGCTGTGTGAAAGTTATGAAGACTGTTGAGCTTATGAAGACTGTGTGAAAGTGTTAATGAAAGAGTGCAAGTATATGAAGATTATGAAGCTGTATGAAGTATGATATGGTAAGTTAATGAAGTACTGTTGTGAGTTATGAAAGATGACTGTGTGAAGTTATGAAGATGTATGAAGTTATGAAGACTGTGTGAAGTTATGAAACTGTGTGAAGTTATGAAACTTAGAGTTATGCTGTGAAGTTGAAGATGGAATAAGACTGTGTGAATGGTCATTTGTCATCGTCATCGTCACCGTTAATTTCTTTAACAGGAATAGGTTAATTTAAGTTAGTTGAGTTAAGCCCTTTGTTATGTGTCGATGAATGATTTTTGAATGACTACATAGTCTTCTGCTGGATATGTTCGATACTAAGTTGACCCATGGTGTAATGCTCGCGTGCGCGAGCGTGTGTGTATGTGTGTGTGTGTGTTGTAATGTGTGTGTGTGTGTTTGTATGTGTGTGTGTGTGTGTTTGTATGTGTGTGTGTGTGTGGTGTGTTGTGTTGCTGGTGTGTGTGTGTGTGCGTGTGTGTGTATGCGTGTGTGCGTATGTGTGCGTGTGTGTGTGTGCGCGTGTATGTGTGTATGTGTGTGTGTGTGTATGTGTGTGTGTGTGTGTGTGTGTGTGTGTGTGTGCGTGCGTGCGTGCGTAGCGTGTGTGCGTGCGTGCGTGCGTGCGTGCGTGTGTGTGTGCACGATGTCGGGGTTAGTTGATCTATGGCTATGAAGTCACAATGACAGTACGACATACGATATAATCAGGAGTGAATAATAATAGATTATATAATAATCTAATAAATTACAATCACAGTGGGAACGTTGTTGCCGGTGCCAAAAGTTGCCTGCTAGCCTAGAATCCAGACAGGCGTAGACGTCTAATTATAGGAATAGAGCCTCAGTCTGCGACACCTCCACCGCGAACATTCGAGCAGCAGCGTCCTGTGAGGCACTTAATTGTGATGGAGATTTCATCTCAGATACATATCCTGGAAGAAGTTGTCTCAAGAAAGAGTTGTCTCAGCATCACTGCACTTAGTGTAGTTAGTGGCATGACATGTCTTACATCACGTTCCGCTCTCACTGTGCAGTTTTTATCCGCTCCTACGCACACACAACAAAACATTAGTTTTTTTACAGGCTAATAACAATCCGCATTCGGTATCAAAGAAGATGAATATAATTGGTCAAATAATTGACCAATGAGCATTGACCGATCAGTGATGTGACATGAATACGTTCTCTAACGCAATCGCACCGCCTCACTCATCTTTTGGGAATTATTCTACGGCCAGCGCGACCAATATATTTCTAGCGAATATTTATTTGATGTTGCGAACGTTGAAATGAACCAACATTCCTTTGAGGCTAGCTTAAAATCTGTCTGTGTTGTGTTGGCGGTATATATATAAGTTGCCAAACTGCCAGACTTGGCGGTTTCACCATATTTCAGCATGTCAGTGACGTCACTGCGCGGCCGAAAAAAATAGTGATTTCACGTAAAACATCTCGTCTGTCGGGAGAATTAAGTCTCCTGTTAATCCATCATGGCCAGGTCCACTGTTGCCAAGTAAGCGGCGACGCGTCACCGCGTAGTTATGTGAAGGTCTGTCACGTCGATGGAAGCTGTGTATCATCCATGATTCAGCTGTGTTTACGCGTTCCGCTTTTACCGATATATAGGCCCTATATGTGTGCCGGCGTAAACATATCTAGCGGCTACAGAATTGTAACGCAGCCCGTAGAGATTTCTATAGATATAGGCAGGCGGGCGGGGGGACCGGATGGACGGACGGGCGAAGCGGACGGACGAACGGACGGGCGGACGGGCGGGTGGCGGGCGGACTGACAGGCGGACGGTATATATGTGTGGAAAAAGTGGAGAGGGTGAAGTAGCAGACGAGAGAGAGAGAGAGCGCGCGTGAGAGAAGATAGCGCCAATAGAGAGAGAGAGAGAGCGAGAGCGAGCGCGCGAGAGAGAAAGAGAGAGAAGAGAGAGAGAGAGAGAAAGAGAAGAGAAATAAAATAGAAAAAAAACAAATAAGAGTAAGAATAGATAGATAAATAGAGATGAATAGATAGATGATAGATAGATAGATTAGATAGATAGATAAGATAGATAGATAGATAGATAGATAGATAACGATAGATAGATAGATAGATAGATAGATAGAATAGATAGATAGATAGATAGATGATAGATAGATAGATAGATAGATAGTAGATAGATAGATAGAATAGATAGATAGATTAGATAGATAATAGATAGATAGATAGATAGATAGATAGATAGATAAGATAGATAAGATAGATAGATAGATACGATAGTATAAATAGATAGATAGATATAAATATAGATGTAGATAGATAGATAGATAGATAGATAAAGTGCGCGCGCATTATTTCCAAAGTGGATCACGGCATTAGACGGTGGCTTCTGGGTTGGCCGTGTCCCAACCTGGGACATAGGAATTCAATCCAGAATTTTTCGCGAAGGATGTGGTGCTGTTCTACAGTAAGGCCGCGATTTTCCTCCACTTATTATTATTATTATTATTATTATTATTATTAGTGCTTTATTAGTACTAATTAGTTTCGCGGAAGGTGACATGAGAAGATAACGAGTTGCTAGTCGGGGGTCACTATGACGACACGGTGACGTCGATCACCAGTGATCCGACACCGACAGACAAACTCTAACTTGTGTTTTTCTTTCGGAATTCGAGACGTTGAAATGAAATGCGAAGCGTTTTGTAAACGTAAACCTATGTGATTAACATGTTTCCGTTTTTGTAGATATTTTTAACGTGTCTGTGTGTGTGTATGAGCGAGGAGAGAGAGAGAGCGAAGCTCTGGTTTACTAGTTGCCAACTAAAGTGTCTATAGTACTGTATATATATATATATATTACTATATGTTGCCTCGCGCACGTACAGTCGGATAGCGGGACCAGTCCATTGTATAAAAGCTAAACAGAGACATGGTCTAAATTATCTGTAAGAAAAACAATGTGTATGTGTGTGTGTGTGTGTGTGTGTGTGTGTTGTGTGTGTGTGTATGTGTGTGTGTTCGTGTGTGTGTGCGTGTGTGTGTGCGTCGTGTGTGTGTGTGTGTGTGTGTGTGGTGTGTGGTGTGTTGTGTGTGTGTGTGTGTGAGTGTGTGTGTGAGAGAGAGGAGAGAGAGAGGGGGGAGAGCGGGAGAGAGAGAGAGAGAAAGGAAGGATCTGTGGCTTGCTGCTACAAAACTCTGCATGAGTTTAACATCTGTTTCGGCACTACAGAATAACACGCAGGCAGAGAGAATGTATTTATACGCGCCCGGCTAATACCGCTTGTATGGTTAGGTTGTTGACTCGTACGGAGCGAGCGATTTACGATTTGCAAATCTGTCATTTCTTAAATTAAAAATAACCGTCACCGCAAGGTGTCAAATTGGCTACGCGATTACCCCCTCGCACACCGACACACCACCTCTCTCTCGCGCGTCGTCTCTCTCTCTCTCTCTCTCTTCTCTCTCTCTCGTCTCCACTACTCTCTTTCTCTCTCTCTCTCTCTCATCTCTCTCTCTTCTCATACAGGCACGCGCCCAGCAAACACGGAACATTCTCGTAACATTTGCTGGAGGTTCTAGTTTTGTTACATTAGCCAAAAATATTCTAAGAACATTCCCATATCGTTATGCATTGATTGGTTTTACTTGGTGAGAGAGTTATGTTCTTGGAATGTTTCTCGTACATTCGCTGGAGGTTCTAGTTTTGGTCACATTAGCCAAAAATATTCTAAGAACATTCCATATCGTTATGCATTCATTGGTTTTACTTGGTGAGAGAGTTATGTTCTTGGAATGTTTCTCGTAACATTCGCTGGAGGTTCTAGTTTAGTTACATTAGCCAAAAATATTCTAAGAACATTCCCATATCGTTATGCATTTATTGGTTTTACTTGGTGAGGGAGTTATGTTCTTGGAATGTTGCGAAAACGTTAACGCGTTCTCGGATGGGTTCGAAACTCCTAATTGCCGTTTTTGTGATGTTGCAACTATAGCACAGGTATCAAATGTATTTTTGTTTATGATTCATCAGATCATATGATCATTTTTGGGAGATTACTGTTGGGAGATAAATGTCTCGAGGCTACGGGTACGGCAGTACATTTGCGCATGCGTCGCTTTCCCACAAAATAATGCCGTTGGAAATTAATTCACGATTTAATTCACGATTAAGATTTCTTGATGAGCTAAGAAACACTCGGATTTGAAGTATGAAAATGAACATTATTGTGCCAGCTAGCCTACACCAGTTCGTTGGGATTGATTGTCAGTTCTAATGCGAAATATAGAAAGCAAAAGGTTTACACCATAGATTAATTTGGGTACTATAACACGCGTATATAAGATAGCCGAGTCGGTTTAGAGTTAGTGTTAGAGTTAGGGTTAGGGTTGGGGTTGGGGTTGGGGTTGGGGATAGGGTGACTGTTTGTACTTGTGTGTGGGACTGCCGTACCCGTAGCCTCGAGACATTAAGATACGGCTGCAGCGCACACATACACCCACGCGCGCCGTGTGCACACACACGAGCGCACGCGCATATACGCGCATGCGCGCGCGCACACACACACACACACACACCATACACATACTTTCTTCTCTCTGCTCTCTCCTCCTCTCTCTGCT